CGCCCCCCCCCCGCCCGGCAGCGAGGACCCCGCCCCCGGGTATGTCCTAGACACTGCCTGACAGAGAAGGCAAAAAGCGGCTCCCCCGCCCCAACCCCTTCAAGCGCCGCCTCCCAGGACACCCAGCCCCACCCCGCCCCGCGGCCTGACAGCATAGGGAGAGCACGGCCCCGAGCTGCCCGCCCCAGTGCCTGACGGGAATGCTGCCATCAGCGCCTATTGGGTGGCCCCCGGCGAGCTGTTCGCCGCAATGCCTGACGGGAAAACTACGGGGGGAGGGAAGAGCCACATGTGCCGCACGTGTTAAAGGGCGAGTCGCTCTGCCGGGGCGTGCACATGTGGGACAGCTGCAGGATCCCGCCTTCGTTTGAACCAAGCAGGAGCCGGCGTTTTTGTTTTCTCTTAAAACAGCATCGATTCCGGCTCCCTTCCCCGCTGTGCCGGCACCAGCCCTGGGGCCCCGAGGGAAGCGGGTGCTGCTCCTCACAAGGCTCTTTTCCCTTCAGGAGAACAGAAGCACCCCTGGCAGTGCTGGATTATGACATGCAGAGACCCCATACGATAAAAATAATCCAGTGGGGAACAAAAATGTCCACATTTAGAGTCATGTCCCCATATCTCCTTTGTCTACCAACTGATTATTATAACACTTGCTGTTGAGTCAGGTTTTTTTAATTTAGAGGCCTCTTGTTATGAGGCCCTAAACTGTAGTTTAAGTAGTTTAAGCCTAAATCCAGCACTGCCCCCTGGTCCCCCCAGCAGCAAGCCTTGACTAAGGTTTTCCTGTAAGGGGCAAGGAGCCCCACCCTATCTTCCCCCCAAAAACAGGCTGGCTTCATCTGAAACAGCAAAACCGGTGCTTCTGACTTGTCTATGCCCAGGGTGTGATAGCGGGAAATGAAACAAAAGATTCAAATAACCTTTAACTTAGATTCTATGTTAATGTAGCAGCTACTTTTCAGTAAAGGTCAGTGTTGAGGTTCCCTCTAGGATCTTAAACGTAAAAAAAAGTAAGTTTGCTGCCAAAATACAAAAGTCGTTATTGAAGTAAAAACAACACAGAGCCCTTTACCAAAAATAGTTTATTGCACAAAATGTTTAAAGGAATTCCTATGCACAATTTATTTATTTTTTAATTAACATGCTTTGTAAGGTCAGAATCTTTAGTTGTACATAACTCCTTTGTCCCCTGGTTTCCCACTTAAAAACCATTATGAAATGATTACCTTTTTGTCCTTATACTTCATCATTTGAGTAGACGTTAGATTATTGAAAACCATGTATAAAACATGACAGTTTAACTTTTACAGTACTTGGAACATAAAAAATCTGGGCATCTGTAATGGACAATGCTGCTCTTAGTTGAGAGAACTTTCTAGGGCTGAAGCTATCTGTTTTATTAGAAATCAAGTGTGACCATTTTCCAGCTGGCTAGCATTAATGGCTTCTTGAGACTGTCTCTGCTTTCTCAGGAAAAACACAGAACCATAAAAAAAAAGTTTTATGGTCACAATAGACATGACATGCAAAAAATTGACACTGCATTGCCAAAATTAAGATAACATGCCTCACAGCTTGTGCATGGCTTAGACAAGTAGTGAGGATGCCATCTAGAGTCTCATTTATATGGCCAAGAATAATCATCAGTAATGCATGTAAGGGATGGCTTAACTAACTCTATTTAAACACCCACACTATTATATTTCACATACGTAAAGATGTGTGCACGAAAATTTCCATTCTGAGCACACATTTTTATTCCTTACATACGTGGAACACCTACTGATTTCAATAGGGATATGTTGCCTGATTGAAGAATATGGGATCAGACCCTCTTTGCACAAGAAATGGAAGGACTGACTTAACCTAACACAGTATATAAAAATTTCCAAGCAACCTGGAAGACAGTGGAATTGAGCTTCGTGCAACATTTAGCAATAGTAGATTCGGTAACTAATTTATTTCCAAAGTCAGTTTAACGCATTAAAGTGTTTTAAGTCTTCCAAAAAGCAACACGTTTTATAAAGGAGTGCTGCAGCTTCTACCAACATTTATCACTTAAAATACTCTTACAGTACAACAACATTAATTTCTCTCTCTTCCATATGATTTGGCTGGAAAAGTTGCAACTACCAGAGTGGGGAAAAGATTTACAAAATACATTCCACTACTGAAAACAATTCTAAAAGCACATCAATGTTAAATGAAGCACTGATTTTCCTCTTAATGGGGCTGTTTCAAAGAAGGAACCAAGTTTTTTCCCCACGCCTACTCTTAGGAGACTGCTGTAGAGAGAACATACTTAGCATCCCAGGGTAAAAAGGAGAATTCTTTTAAAGAAACACAAAAACGACCACCTTACAGAATAATTAAGGAAGAGAGTTGCTGGGTTACAAGGGAAAGGCCTAATCATTTGTGGAGCACCTGCAGGAGCTGCTGACTTCCCACAAGTCCTGTTATTTTAGTAAGCCTTGGCTGTACTCGACATCTCATGTAATTAGGTCTTCAAGTTTCATCCATTGTTCTTTGGTCAGGAGATGGTGTTTTGTATTTGATTTTATAATAGGTGATAGATACTAACAGAAAAAGAAGTATGGTTATGATAAGGGTCCTGATAAGGAAACTGAGTACTCTCAGACACAGATGAGGAGTGGGGTAAAGAAGAAATCAGTTCTCATATAACTAATACATCTTAACAATCTCTTTCTGTCAGAGGAAAACTATACATTTAAGGCTACGTTGCTGTATCAAATACGCACTCAGGTGTCTTGTAAAGAACTAACAAGAAAGATGCAGCACTGACCTGAAACAGGATTGCATTACAGTAACTAGTATAATAGTGAGAGAGACAGGCATTTTGAAGAACTACGAATGTTTGTTACAGTTCTGGCATTTTTGATCCCAGATAAAATGTCTTATCTGTACAAATGTTGCCAAGCTCACAATTTAAAACTTAACAAATTCTTACCTGTAGTTAATGATTTATCAAAATGAACAGCAAACATTAACCCCGCACAAATGGTATTTTATTTAAAAACCTGAACACACAATTTTTTGCACTGAATATATTATTCATTATGTAGTTTTAACTTTTTCAATTAACAATACACTATCTTTTTTCCTCTTAGAGCATAATATACAGGCAACTTCAAGAACATGAACAGCAGCAAAATTAATCAGTACCATTACTCTGTGAAGTAGACTTTAGTAGTATATAAACATTAGCACGTCTGGGCTAGTCAGTAAAGCTTTTGACGTTTTTAAACAGTTCAGAAATCCTACATGAGGGGCACCTAATGCCACACTAAATCCATTCATTTCCTCTCAAACCTGAAACACTTGACTTTTAAACTTTAAGGTCAGTCCTACCAAATAAAACACGGTAGTGGAATTCCACCATTAGTCAGTTTAGACACTGTTGTAAGCGCAAACTATTTAGTTGGCTTAGAACTTGAATCAAGAGAACTGCAAAACTTTAAAGGCAGGGCTCTTTGTTTCTAAAGCAGCTGCCCAAAACCAATCCCCTCAAATGAGATAGAACTGGAACACTTAACAAAAAGAGGTGAGGATAATTTTTCTGTGTAGGCATATATCTACATTTTTTTTTAATAATTCTTGTTTGAAGAGAACCCTATCCATGTTTTGTCCACCTGTTTAATCCACCTGTTTATCTAACTGATAAAAAAATCCAATATAAAAGAACATACCTGATCTTATCTTCCTCACTTTCAACAAAAACAACAGCACACTCACTTGGGACCATCCATTCATTCTTCTAAGTGTAAGTCTGTCATGTGCTACAGCATGATTCCAAGTGTACAGTAGGCAAAAAATGCGTCTATGCTGATGTCAGAATAACACAGAAGGGGAGGACACTTTCACTGTACTATAATATAGCATGGATGGGACCAGCCAAAAACATATCTAAAGGCAGGGTGCTTCAGTAACATTGCATTAGATAAAACAAGGTGCCTCTGCAGAAGAGGTCACAGTAGTGCCAGTGCTCCCACACATGAACGATGTGCACACACTGGAAGCAAAACAAGAAAGGGAAGGGGAAGATAAAGCTAATAAAAAAAATAAATTTTATAGGCATTATCATTTTTGTCTTTGAAAGATACCAGTGAAATAATTACATTTCTAAAAGCTCTGGCTTTGGGGCTAGTTTCCCTAAGCCTTATGTACAATATTGTCCAACAGCAAACTTAAATGTAACATTAAAATAATAAGTAACAAAATACCCAGGTCAATCCCAACTTATAGTATATAAGTATATTAAAATATTAAAACTGATACTTTAGGTCAGGAAATTATGATTTTTCATATGTATATACAGACCTTTATCAGGTATGTCTACTTCAAAACCTAACCAAAAAGGTGCAAAGAAAAAAAGTGTGTATGTGCAGTGAAGCAAAGCTCCTTACTGGCCTGTACTGCAAGAAGACAATCACCACACTCCAGAAAACATCCTGGGCAGATTTACCAGTTTATACCTGGCCTGCACCAGT